CTAAAACACCACCTTCTACATTATATCTGTCATAATTTCCTGCTTTAGAGACAAACTTTTCAACACTATAAGGTTTCTGGCTTTATTACATTTTACTTTCAACAGAAAGCCCATCTTTCTGCAGATATTTTAGGCATTTTGGTTTACTGCATATCATACATTTTTACGCCGGACTCATATGTCAAATTGCAAACATATGATGCATTTCAATGTTTCCTCTATTGTCCGTGGCCATACTAATGCCTGCATGGAGTACTTTGTCCTGTTTGCTACTGTGATATCTCATCACAAATGATAGCCAATTCTGATTCAGTTGTTAATTTCCATTGGAAACAGTGTTTTGCTTTCCCATAATCCAGTCACGTATCCTGTTTTCTTTGACTGGCCTTAAAAACATCTCAGGGAGACGTAGCTATTTTGAGTAGTTCTGTTAAATTCTTTATTCCTCATGCTGAAAAATCACCTGTGAGAAGTTACAAACTGCAGCATGCCAGGCAAAAGGTGGATTAAGAAAAACTTACCAAGTTTTATACTCTGGAAATGGATGAAAGCATCACAGGTTTTTTTTGGCTTCCTTTTACATTAGGGAAGCCAAAGCTTCTCATCTCATTCATTCTGCACAGAGCAGTGTTAAAGCACTCATGAAATACACACACACATACTGAGACAAACAAAAACCAACCTAAAACCCTGATCTGGCGTATTCAGCTTTCCCAGTGAGAATCAATTGCTAAAAAACCTCTACCATTAACTATACAATTAACACAGTAAAGATTCTCCTGGAAGAAAATCTTAATTACACTTGAAGTTTAATTTAATACACAGACACCCCAGAACCTTCTTTGGTTTGAGTGTGAAAAGAGAGCAAATCATGGACACATGATTTATTTGGAGCTACTAAAATCTCAGCACTGCACTATTTGTGGTGCAGGAGTGATGCATCACCCATCCTCAGTACAGCCGGGGGAAATCAAAAGAGACCAGCTAAAGCATAATTATACTGTTCAGCATCTATTAAGCCTACTGTGCCAACAGCTTACACAGCTCCAATAAGCAGCCACTCTTCTAAAACGGGTAAACATCTAAAACAGAAGAGAATTAGCTAAGGGGTATTGAGTGATTTTTAAAACCACCACCAAAACGTTTTAACACCCTTAACATAAACCAGCCCGAGCTTAAGAATGTAATGCAATTAAAAGTGAGGATGGGGATGGTACTGAAGTGATACTCCAGGAACATGGAAAACAACTGCCCAGAAGTGACAGACACACATCCTCCAGTGTTGGTCATCACTACTGTCTTTAAAATCCTCTTGGGCTGGATAACCAGAACAAGCCACCCGGGTAACTTATTCTGCTCTGTGTAACACCAGTCATGCATGGCAACAACTCAATACATAAACCTCTGTCCTCTCAGACACAAAACCATGAACACTCCACCACATCTTGTGGCAAACCATTTTACTACCCACAGCAGTAATGACTTCCACTTCCAGCTCAATTCAGCCACCTTTAATTTCTACCTTGTGGCGCTTTTCGTGCCTTGGGTGCGCTCTGTCACAAGTTCCTGGGATAAACACCATGATTTCGGGCTTTCCCAAATTTGCCAATAGGAAATGTTCCCCTCGGCAGGGGAAATTACTCCGTAACCATGCAAACCTATTGGCAACAGTTCTGTTTGTCTTAGATTATCTCCTTCTTAACCACAGCTTGTGCAGGGGCTGAAGAATCCTTCCCATAACAAGTACTGTTGCATCTTCCCAATATAGGTCTCTTATTCCAACCCGAGCTACACCAAAAAGCACAATTCACACGCTGCCAAAGTAGCTCAGCAGATCTCTCGTTACACAGGTTTACTACACTCCCAAATCATGTGCTGGATCCTCTCCGAGATGCTAGCAACACACCCACATCATTCTGCAAGCATTAATACCCAAACTTGAGCAGTTCCACTATAACTTCAGCCAGGCCACTGCCTTTGTATTACACATGCTCACACAGCTGAGGATGCTGCTGGGGACTCTTGTTCATTCACTTGCACTTGTACGTGTAGAAATGCTGCTTCTCATAGTAGTGGCACAATCAGTATCTTGTGCTCTATAAGCGCTACACTTAAACACATCGTTGTCAGATGTCAGGTTAAGGAATAACATCAAACATTCCCTTTTAAGACACGGGGGGGATCCCCCCTTAACCTCACATCTGACTTACATTCCTTAAGCGTTCCCACTACTTAAACCACCCACATAATACTTTGACTCATAACTTGAAGTTTAGCCTCACTCTCTAACACAAAACTAGTCAGAATCCAGACATTTAGGTGACACCTCCACCCTGGCTAAAGGGCCACAAGATCTATGGACTGTACGTAACCGCTTTATGACAGTAAAAGACCGGCTGAGCTCTACACCTGTACAACCCTTTCAGGACGGCTGCAACAAGCGCTCAGCTCCAGCGAACACCTCACCATGAGCTGTGAGGTGCCTGGCAGGCAGGTGCAGGCAGCCGGCTCAGCTCGGCCAGGAGCCCCAGCAGCACACCTCCGCTTCATTCCACCACAAAGAGCTCCGCAACTCGCACCGCCGCCCGTGGGGAGCCGCACACCGGGGCACCGCCAGCCCTTGGTGGGGGTCACTCACCCGGGGCCCCAGGGCCCTCTCCGCCGGCCCGCCGGCCTCCCGCCGGCCCCAGGCTGTTGACGATGTAGTGCGAGACGCGGGAGCTTTCGGACACCGACAGCACGAAGTCACCGGGGATGGTGCCGGAGTCGCGCACCAGGAAGGTCCCGTGGCGCTGCCCCTGCAGCAGCGTCACCGCTTCGGCCCTGCTCAGCCGCCCCCAGTACCAGCTCGCCCGGTCCTCGGAGTCGAACTGCCCGGCCATGGGGCACCCCCCCCACCGCCGCCGCCGCCCGCGGGCCGCCGGTGCCCCACTCCGCGCCCAGCCCCGCCACCCAAAATGGCGGACCCTGCCCTGACCTCACCTACCGGATGTGAGCTCACACGGGAGACGCGGGCGACGCGTGACGTCATCACCCCGCGCGGCACAGTGGGTGTGTGGAGAGTGACGCATGCGCGGTGAAGGGGCGGGAAGGCGGCGCTGAGGGAAGGAGGAGCCGTGAGGTACCGGGGTGTTCTCCGGGCTCCCGGGACGGTCGCGTTACCCCCACAGTGCTCTCACATCGGGCTGGCGTGAGGAGAGGCCGGGGAGCAGGCCCTTGTCCGCGGAGGAGGGTTAGAATTCGTCTTCGCGTGTGGTATATCCCTTTAGGAGGGCAGAGTAGCACCCTGAGAGTTCCCATTCCCTGGTGGCTTCCCAGCTCCTGTGTCTTGTTGTGGTGGTTTATAAGAAGGCAGGATATTAGGAATATTAAATCACAGCAGCAAGAAAAGACCTTCATTCTGTGCAATTGTTCACAGACTTCAAGCAAATAAATCGTGAGGTTTCTTACCATGGTGAAATTTAGTGTTCTGACTAAAAACTAAATCAGAAAAACGTAATTTTCTGGCTAAAAACACAGTTTTCTGACCAAAACGTCTCCTTTCGACCAAGGGCTGTTCCCCCCCCACCTCGCTTCCCATTCCCCACCGTTGTACCCCAGTTTTCAGCTGAAGCCGCTGGAGTTGGTGGGGTTTTCATTGGGTTTGGTTTTCTCTGGTGCGAGCAGTTGGGACTCGTTGCAAGAGTTCCCTCTGGTGGTCAGGGATGAGGAGATTGACAGCGCTGCTGGTGTGAGATGCTGCTTTTTATACTTTTATGCTGGAATAGAGTATCAGACTGGTTTGGGTTGAAGGGACCTTAGAGCTCATCCAGCTCCAACCCCTGCCACGGGCAGGGACCCCTTCCACTGGAGCAGCTTGCTCCAAGCCCCTGTGTCCAACCTGGCCTTGAGCACTGCCAGGGATGGGGCAGCCACAGCTTCTCTGGGCACCCTGTGCCAGCGCCTCAGCACCCTCACAGGGAAGAGCTTCTGCCTAAGAGCTCAGCTCAGTCTCCCCTCTGGCAGGTTCAAGCCATTCCCCTTGGCCTGTCCCTACATCCCTTGTCCAAAGCCCCTCTCCAGGTTTCCTGCAGCCGCTTTAGGCACTGGAGCTGCTCTAAGGTCTCCCCTTCAGGAGCCTTCTCCAGCCTGTCTCCAGAGCAGAGCTGCTCCAGCCCTCGCAGCAGCTCCATGGCCTCCTCTGGACTCGCTCCAGCAGTTTGTTCCCCCCAGAGCTGGATGTAGGACCCGTTGGTCATGCTGCTGGTGAGACAGCCCTGCACACGGTAATCCTGGCCTAGCTCATAGGGTGAGGCTGTGTAGACCTGGTGTAAATGGCATAGCTCAACACTGTACCCAACTCATAACATTAAAACTGAAGGAGGAAAAAGTGCATCTTTGTTTCTTTTACCCATGACCTGAAGAAATGAGGTTTCAGCCACAGAAATGTGGGATTTGGGTTGGAAATGGTGCAGAATTTGGGAATGGAGCACCCCGGGTGGGATTTCTCCAGTAAAATAATAGGAATTGTAATGAAACCACAGGGTGTAATGGAAAAGGTGGTCATTGCTGCTGACAATGAAGTGTGGAGCCCCTGATGGGGAAATAATGGTGCCACTGCAGAAGCAAGGTGTGATTTGGGTTTGTTGTGTGTGAGGGGATGGAGCTAATTAGTGTAATTGGGGAATGAGAAACTTGTCTCATTGAGACAAGTAAAACCCATACGTTTTATTTAGGCCAAGGGGAGAGGGGGCTTCACTCTTGAAGCAACCCAATGCCTTGGGTTGGGAATACTCTTAACAAAGAGAGCAATTGAGCCCCGGAACAAGGGGATGCAGAGCCTGCGGGGAGCCATAAGCTCTTCCGCGCTGACCTAGTCCCGCTTCGCGGGGAAGATGGCGGCGGAGCCCTCCCGCTCGCCGTAGCCCTGGAGGACCGCCGGCCGCGCCGCTCTGTTCCCGTCTCTCTATGGCCTCTCAGCCTGTGGCTCCCGACCCGGCGCTGGCCTCGTGTGGCGCTCTACCCACCCCATCGTCTCGGTGGTGGTTCTAAGGCGGTGGCGCCGTCTCGGTGTCCGGGCGCAGGGCGGGCCTGGCGGAGCTATGGCGGCCGTGCGGGGCCTGCGGGTCTCGGTGAAAGCGGAGACGGCGGTGGAGCCCCGCGGCCCGGAGCCTGAGCCTATGGAGGTGGAAGAAGGCGAGCTGGAGACCGTCCCTGTGAGGCGTTCGCTGCGGGAGCTCGTTCCGGTGAGGGGCGTGAGGTGTGGGTATGGGCTGAGGAGGGACATGGAGGGACCGGTGGCTGGGGGGGGGGTCTGGAAGAGCGTTTGGGGGGACATTCATGGGAAAGGCAGCGATACTGGGGGTGCGTGGAGGGAGTGGGGATGTAAAGGGAACTCGGGGTGTGTGAGGGGAGTGAGGGAGCAGGTCGTCAGAGGATGTGCTTTGGTTCGAAGGGATTAAGAAGGTGGTGGAGAAGAGGATCTGGGGGGTAGTAATGGACTGTGGGGAGGGCTGTGGGTGGGAGAGTGTCAAAGGAGCTCAGGATGCACCTAAAGCTGGGGGTGGCAGTGGGAGAGCTCGTGTTGAGGCACTGGAAATGGGGCTCTGATGGGTGAGGTTTGAGTGTTTCCTTTCCACCCCCCCCCCCCCTTTTAAATTGTCCTTAATTGTTCCTGTACAAGTTTTAGTAGAGTTCTTCTAAAGTCCTCACTTGTCCTTTGCTCTCAAAACTTGTATGGGAATTGCTTCACACACTAGTCTCTAATTATCTGATCTACCACCATGCTTGAGCTTCTACCACATACGTGGCCTAAAAGACAGCACCCTTCTGTATTTCCTTGTGCTTCATGAGAACCCTAGACAGTAGGTTTTTGAACTTCAAAAATACTGCTTATTTTGCTTTTCTTTTTAACAACTAAACATTTGGCAACTTCAGACAAACTTTGCTGCTGTTACTGAGCAAAGCAGTTACATGGTGTGTCCTTTGCTATTTCTAAACCGAGACTGGCCTACTTTGTAGAAACAAGGACCTTTAGCTAAAATAACTATTGCAGCACAAATGTAAAGAACCTATTTACCCCTAAAGAAAGCAAGATGTGTCCTTCCTGCTCCAGACTTTTGCCAGATGATGGTCCTGAGGGTGCCAGGATGAGGAGGTGCCGTTTTTACACAGGCAAACAAGGAAAAGTTCAACTGTGGCATTGGTCCGGGGTCTGTGTGGTTTAGTGAACTCAGCATTCTCTGGTTTTGGTCTTTATCAGTGAGGTTGTGTCAAAACAGTAATGTTTTGTCTTGTGGATATTTGGAGATTGGGTTTGAAATAATGACAGGAGTAACAAGTTACTTGTTTAAGTGTGGTTGTGTCTTGGTGGTTGGACTTTTGAGACTAGAAGCTGCAAATTGACACTTCAGGAGTTGGGTATCACTGCTCAATCTTTTGTGTTTTACAAGGAAATTAGATCTGAAGCCAAGACTGTGGAAGTTTTAGTTGGGAAATGTGTTTGATGACTTCTGCATTGCTAAGAGAGAGTAAGAACCTTCACGGCAGCAGACTCAGAAACTAGATTGTGCCAAACAATTGAATCCTTAAAGGAAGTTTGGTTCAACTCATATGCTTTTACCTTTACTGACATCAGCAAGGAACATTGCTCCTGTACTAGAGGTGTCACTTGGAGTAAGGCTCAAGGAGAAGAGGATGTATTTCTCATAGAAATGGCCAGATTTGGTTATTTTCAGCATAACAAGACTGTTGCTTTCAGTGTTCACTGAGATTTCATCACCATTTTCCTTTTGTTTCAGGACACTAGTAGGAGATACGAAAACAAAGCTGGAAGTTTCATTACTGGAATAGATGTAACCTCCAAGGTAATTCCTGTGCTGTGGTTCTTCAACATACTTCAGCATCCTAATTATTGCTACTGGGAATTATTGCCTCCCCAGCATGAACAAAAGCTTAGCTTCATGTTCAGAGAGCTTTTGTTAGCTGTGCCCTGCATCAGGACCTGATCTCCCTTATAAACTTGTGAGAATTGGTGTTTTTAAGTTACAAAAACTTGCGTGCCAAGACCTGACAATGATTCTGTTGCAACTGCCTCAGTGCCAGTCGATACTGCGAAGCCAAACCCTTAAGAGACAAGTCAGCTGTGGCTTTTCCTCTTGGGAGCGTGACAGAAGGAAGAGCAAATGCTTGGCAGGAAAATCAAGTTTCATTGCTTTGTATCTTCCAAGGGCATCTTCTTGTTTAATTATTTAAGACACAGCTTGAAGAATGTGAGCAGCTGTTGCATTGAAATAACTGAAAGTTGCATAATTCCATGGAACTTCAGAAATTTAATCCTAGAGCTCGTCTCTGTACGTTTAATAGTGAGTTGGCTGTTTCCTACTGTACAGTTGACCACTAAAACTGGTATTTAGTAGTAGACAAGAAGCATTTAGTCATACACTTTACAGGACTGATACAATTTTACATGTGCTAGTCAATATGAATCCTCACCACAGCAGTGTGCTGACAAATCACGTATTCCCATTTACATTAGTGAAGCTCATACTTATCAAAGAGCACAGAAAGGGTTCCAGATGAAGACTGAAAATCAGGTTTTGGCTTCAATAGATTGTGTGTTCTGTTGCTCCATAAAGGATTTGCAGTTCCCCAAGTCAGGGCCAGGCTGTCATCTTTTGATGTTCTTTAATGATGCAACTCTGATGTGGCCAAAGCTGTTGTGGCAACCTTTAAAAAGCGGTGAAACCCCTGTCTCTATTTAGGTGTCACTGGTGGCAGGTTGTGGTACAAGTTTGACTTTGGTTAGTAAGATCCCAAACCCTGTAAAGCTTCCTGATACGTTCTGCAGAACAAGGTATTTCTCCGTTGGTTGCAGAGCTTGCACAAGATCCACATAAGCTGTTGCTCATGAGCTGTGTAAAGCAGCCTGAATTGCCAGTCTAAAGATGTCGATAGTCAGCACTCCAGCTTGTGTTGCTAAATCCATGTGGAGAGAGACAAGTCTTTATTTTGTATATGTTTTGAAATCAGGGAAAAACCTCTATAATCTTAAAACATGAATTTTCCACATGGGGGAAATGTTTGTTTTAAGTGAGCTTTATTTCTGAGCGCAGCCTCTGTACATCTGTTAGAAAGGAGAAGATAATGTTACTGTTCCATCATGGAGTCTGAGCATGGTGCAAGATGCCTTGTTTTCCATGCATCCTGATAGCATCCATGTTCCTGGTCCTACATTAAAACTGTTAAGCATCTCAGATATGTTTTAGGGAATGGTTTCTATGCTCTGACACTCACAGGTCTCTTCAGAATGAATAAACCTCTCAACACGGATTGTTGCTGTCTGGTAGATTTTAAGCATCTGGTCCTTCAGTGCTGCTTGTTGGGAATGCTGCTGAGATTCCTGTTTTGAATGTATTGTTGTGTGTTTTGCAGGAAGCCATTGAGAAGAAGGAACAAAGAGCAAAGCGCTTTCATTTTCGAGCTGAAGTGAATCTCGCCCAAAGGAATGTGGCTCTGGATCGGGACATGATGAAGAAAGGTAGGAGTTTATCCAACAACAAAGAAGAAAATATCCTTTTGTTTACTTCCTCACAGTCCCTTTGCTTGATTTATCCTATAATATTCCCTGCATCTCCAGAGGTTTTCTGAGATTATTGCCAAAAGAAGTCGCTTCTGGGTTTTTTCACCTTTTGAAGTTGTTATTTTATGAGCTGTTTGGCTGTTCTCAGTTCACTCCTTGTTTTATCAACCCCAGAAAGAAGATGACAATTTTATCTTTATTTACCTAGTGCTGCATGTCCAAGATTCATCTTCTGCCTCAATGCTGCTTTAAGAACCTTTAAATTCTGTGAACAGACCAGACCTTGAGCACTGTTTGTGTGTACAAGTGAAGCACACGGTGTCCTGTGCACAGTGAGAACAGATTCTGTGCTGTACACACAGTGAAGCTGGGCTGCTTGTGCCCTCAGATGGCAAGCTGGGCATGTTGGAATAGAAGCAGATCAGCCAGAAAGTGTATGCACAGCAGATCAGTGCTTCTGGCATCCAGTTAGTTGGACCTGCTAAGCCCTGTGGCCTGTAGCAGCTCTCATTAGATGATAACAAGTAGTAAAGTTTGTAAGGCAGTTTAATTGCTGTGTAGTACCTGCATCTACCGATGCCTGTTGTGTTACCTCTTTTTAATTCTCAATCTATCAAAGTTTTGCATTGTGGAAGAATAATTCAAGTGATGGTGTTTAGAATGGTGTACCTCATGCTTTGCTTTTATCAGGTTCCATTCAGCTTATTTAAAACATTGCTTTATAAACTCATATATTACTAATTCAACAGCTTCCTCGATAGGAATAAGTACCAATTGTATATCTCTACATTTGTGCAGCAATTCCTAAAGTGAGACTAGACACAATTTACATCTGTGGAGTGGATGAGATGAGTACACAGGACATCTTTGCCTATTTCAAGGAGTATCCTCCTGCTCATATTGAGTGGTTAGATGATACATCATGTAAGTAAGCGGAGTCTTTTGTCTGTAATTCTTACTCGTGTTTTAATGCCAGTAGTAGCTGTACCTCATATGTCCTAGTGGCTTTCAAAGTCACTGATACTTGTGTGTTAGTTTCCTTGTCATTTGCCTTAGTAAAAAAGGTTTAGAAGGAAATAATATAATATATTAATAATATACTATAAATATATAGTATATAGTGAAAATCAAACCCACTATCTGGCTGAATATTTGCTGTTGGAAGGAGATAGCACAGAACAACTTGCAGGCATCTAAAAGGGGGGAAAAAAAGGTATGAAATTACATCTTGACATACAGAGTATACCTGCTGTGAGTGTCACAGCAGCTGACACTGGGAGAGAACATGCCTGTGTGCAGTTAAGCAGGTTGGTTTTGTGCTGCGGAGGAGCAGACTTGTTGCCATATTTATTTAGTGCATTCTCAAGGAAAAATCAGTGGGTGGGAGAAGGCAGAGGCTGAATGTGATTTACATAGATTGGAAAAGGAATGTAAATTCGTGTTGCAAGGGCTGTTTCGGGGAGTAATAATGCAGTGAGATTGCCAGGAAGATAAAGGGTTGTTGACAGCCGCGTTTTCTTCACGATACTAAACACTGTAAGAGTTGTTTGCTCCAGGTGGGTGCTGGATCATGGAACTGGAAGGCTCTGAGATTGCCATGTGGCTAGAAATGCTGTAAATGAAATCATGCAAAAAGTAGGAGCCAGTGCAGGTTTTCCAGTTGGATTGGGATTGCTGGAAACTGATTTATTAACAAGCATGCCTAAGACTTGAGAATTAGTAGCCTGGTTCCCTGGAATGACCCTGAAGGAATTACGTTCCAGTGCAAGGTAAAATACATGGTGTACTATTGGTAACCTTGGAGTCACTGTGCACGACAGCTTGAGGTGCACCCAGTGAGCACAGGGTGGCCAAAGAGCTGCTGTGGTGATGCATAAGCTGGCAGCTGCACAGCTTAACTCTGTATTTGAGGCTGCATTTCTAAGGTTGATGCTTAAGCTTTTTCTGTGTTATTATCCTTATTCTGAAGTGGTACGTGAGTAAATTTAGTGTGGAACCAGAGTGAGTTTGCAGTGCAGAGATGCAGGCTTCAGAGTCGTAGCAATAGTTTATCCAGTTACAGTTAAAACACATCTTCTTTACTGATTAATTTTCATGCTGTATGAGTTAGCATGGCAGCTACATGGTGAAAATGCAAGGAAAACCACTACCCTTTCAGCATAGATTTGTGTCACAGCATGGCAAAAGGTGTCACATTCCCCTCTGAATTATATCTTGAGGTGTCTTAGTGCAGAGGTGGGTTTAGATGGTGTTCTGTATTTCAAATTGAGCATAAAACAATAAAGGCTTTGAGTATGGAGGTGTGAAGAGCAGGTAGGCATACAGAAGTGGAAAGTCATTAGCCAGTCATTGAAGTTAGCACCAAAAGTGGGTGTTCTTCACCTTGTAAATTGTGTCTGTTCAAGTAGTTTGAGAGAGGCTTTTCTTCTGGGACACTGCATAGTTCTTGTGATACCTGATTACACTCTGCTTAACTGCAGAGCAGTAAATTACATTTGCTGCTGTATTTGCCCTGAATGCAGAAAGCTTTTGTTCAAAACCTGTTTCTAAGCAGTTTCAGCTCTTTTCAACTTTGATGTTTATGAAATGCTTTTAGTTGGCCTAATAAGTTATGTTTTAGTACCAGCTGCTGATACAAGGTATGTGCAAGGCATGTCCTGAATCATATGGTTAACCTGTGACACGATGATCGGTGCAAAGTGTAGGCTTTCCTATTTTCCTGCTTTTTTGGAAAAGATTAACAGAATCCCATAGTAAAGTCCAAGGTTGTGTTAAATTGCCAAAGGGAAAAAAATGAAGGCTTCTTTCTCCCCCCCTCTTAAAATACACTGACCCTGATCCAATATCCTACACTCAGGAAGCAGGCTTTGATACATATGATTGTGCATATCAGTCATTCTGGTTTGAATCGGTTGTTGTGCGTGTCCTCCAGCTTCCCATGTGTGTTCAGGAATGACTTCCCCTGCAGGAGGTGTATCTGGTTCCTTCTTTTGCCATGTCACCATAGGAGAGTGTTTCTGAACTTCTGTTAGCAGTTTCCAGTAAGGCAGTGTATGTGACTGATTATGCAAACTGCATTATGGTTTTGTGTGTGCTTTTATATGTCACAGGTAATGTGGTCTGGCTTGATGAAGTAACAGCAACACGGGCTTTAATTAATATGAGTTCCTTGCCTGATCAGGAGAAAACAAAAAGCAGAGAAAACAACGAAGAGAAGACAGCTGAAAAAGCCAAGAAAGGTAGATTGAGATATGCATATATAGATATCACCTAGTTAAATCAGTGCAACTTTAAACTTGGGCTTGGGTACTGCATAACCTGAATTACTGAAGGAGCTTCTATCGTATAGTTTCAGGTAAATGTATTCTGCCACTTTAAAAAAGGCTTTCATCTTGGAAACCTTTTGAAGAAGCTGCTTCTTAAAAGGTGGGTTGGAGCTAGACCAAAAGCAGTCATTCAGTCGATACTGAACGTGTTAGATATAGGGTCATATTCAGATATGGTATTTGTAGTGGTACTTTTGGCACAGAAGTAAGTCTGTGGCAGTAAAAGGATGAATTCCAAGTGTGGAAAAAGCAGGTGTAAGAAAATGTCCTGGTTTTGAAATACCACAGTTGATTCCTTTCTTGATGCATCACCATCCTTTATCGTTCACACTGGTGTGACAGGTTATCACTTCACCACTGTGTATGTCATCTCTAAATCTGGCCATTATACTTTCAAGAAAGCAGCACACTGAAAGGTCAGTTATACAAGAGCAAAGCAGTAAAATCACATCTTAATGTGGTGTTAAATCTGGTACCTGAGTGCCTGAATTGTGAATTGATTTTACTTCTATGGGCGTAAGTGAAGAATTGGGCGTTTGCTGCCTTAGGACAATTTGCTGTTAGGCTGGTGGGATAAATTGCTGTGGGTCCAAGCACTGTACAAAGCAAAGAGAGATGTTGTATTTATGAACTCTTCCACAGATTGTCCTTAAACATGCTTTATGAACAAAATGCATCACGCTTTATGAACAAATGTGGATCCTTCTAATTCATCCCCTTGTTGCCTTTCTCCGCAATGCAGTGGCTCCTCAACCATCCTTGTGGCTTTAATTTTGGGGCAAATGTTGATAATGCTTCAAGTAAGACTTGTTACGAAGTCAGGGATTAGTGACTGTCTTGTTTCAATGGATCATAAATACATGTATTTAATCTTCCTGGCTACAAGTTACACGTTGTGTTATCATTACACCGCATCTCAAAATAGAACCTGTCATCTAAATTAATCCTGTTCAGCTGGAAAAGTGGGATACTGGATAAAGTACAAACTGTTCACTTACAGCTTAAGGTGTGAGATGCATCCACATACATAAGAGTAACTGGCTTAGATGCATTCCTTCTGCCTCCCTTGGTGGGGGGGCAACCCAATATGAATTTTTTACTCTGAGCTAAAAAGAACCCTGAAAACTCTATATAAGCATCTCACAATTGTAGTAGTTCTGGAAGCGTGCACTCTTTTGTCAGTTATTTCACTTTGAAATGAAGTCACTCAGGTGGTGGTTTGGGGTTTTTCCTCCTGCTCTCCTAGAATATTCTAAGCTTTTGAATAATCACCTGGTTTACTTTGGTAGTATTGGATACTTGTGGGTACTCACAGCATTTTAAAGGGAAACTAAAGGAAATAAGCTGTAATTTGTCTTTTATGGTCTTGGCCTTGCTGATCTCTCTCGTACCCTGAAATGCAGTGTAACTTCATTTGCTTTCACAGAATTAAATTAATCCATGTGTGCTGCTGCAGGTGTGTATCTGCACAGTGGCTGCCTGGTTCATTGTATTCCGTGTTCATGTGTGCTTCACATTCCTATAGATGTTTGCTGTTTTGACTATCTCTGGGCTGTACAGAAGAAAGGATAACACTTTCCCTTTGATTTCAGAGACTGTAGGCAATAATAATCAGCTATAACTGACGTGCTAAATGGAGTTTATTTCCCCACCCCCAATTATTTTCCTTCTTAGAAAAACAGGAGGAAATCTCTGATGATGAGACGGAAGAAGGCGAGGTTGAGGATGACAATCCAAGTGATGTTGAGGTCAGTACAAAAGGGAAGTGAAAACACCATTATGGAAGTTTGGCTCTGGCTGGTGTGAAGCCTTCATAACATTACACTTTTAACTGTATATATTTGTAATTCATAATTTAATGATCAAAGTAAATTGGATGGGGAAATGATGAGTGCAGGTATGCTGTTGGTGAGAAAGCTTGTAATATAGAGTGTTTTGTGAAGAGTGATGGGGCATCCAGCATGTAAGAGCCAGACTGGCTGCTCTTTTCTGCTGAGAGGAGGCAATGAAAGAACAATAATAGCAGGCATAGGCAGTGCTTGAAAAGACAAATAGGGTTTAGAATGACCATAGGTATTTGTGGGAATCAGCATACACATTGATGCTTTGTAAATGGTGTAATCTTCACTGGCTGAATATAGAATAGGTGTGATTAGAATTTCTTTAGGAATGGCTTAGTGAGCACTATGGAAGTCTGAATTTCAGTTTCCATAAAGCAGATATAAATGGAAAAGAAAACCTTTCAGTCATTGCATGAGGGCATGAGAACCTGTTAGTGAAACCATTTAGACATGAACCAAGCAAAAAGGAAAAAGTCTCAGTGTCCAAATTGTGTTGTTGTCTGCATTTCAGCCATTAGGATAGTGTCATTTGAAAGTGACTGGATTTAATAATACGAGAAAATGTTATGAAGTAAGAGAAGGAAATATTTAAACCTTCAGGGAAAATCACAAATTCACATCAGTTTGTCAAGCAAAAAAGCAAATTATTTGAGCATAATTTGAAAAGTAACTTTCTTAATACTCAGCAGGTTGCTGCTCTCTAAGCAACCTGCTTTCATTCAACAGTAATCTTATTTTTGAGTCCAAAATACCTCTTTTGCCCCCCAAAGTTGGATGCCCTCTCCCAGGTAGAAGAGGATTCTCTCCTGCGTAATGATCTTCGCCCTGCCAATAAACTGGCTAAAGGAAACAAGCTGTTCATGAGATTTGCTACTAAAGGTAAATGACCAGCTTAACAAGCACAATGAATTCTTGCTTGTTGTAGTTTTACGTGTTGACTAATCACTGACTCAAAGTACCTGATTTTCTATTTGCACAAGTGTTAGTTTCTTTGCTAATCGTTAGGTATTAAGATTTTGCAATAAATCCACATTTAATGTGTAAGTTAAATCCAGTTCAAGTTGTATGAAAACTGTGGTGCTTACATCTTGGGCTCAGGGCATTCTTGCAAATACCACAGAATAGGTTTTATGATGCCCTTCTCCATAGGGGTAAACCTCCTGGTTTATTAATGAGAAATTAATTAGAGATGCTGATGAGATATTAGTGGCAATTCTTTCTAAATACAGTTGAGATGTGAAATGATATTTATGAGTAAAAAGAAAATCCATATGATTTCTGGACCATGAAGGAAGTGACACATCCATAAGGAAAAGAAAGGTCATGAGGAAGGTAAGTACAGCCTCCAGCAGTTACAGGGGGATGGAATGCTCTGTGAAATGATATGTGGAAACTCAGCCTTGCTAGAATCAAGTTTCTAGACACAAAACTATGGTGGTAGGAGAAATTCCAGTGGTGTCAGCAAAGCTGTATCCTTCAGAAGGAGATTGAAGTAGTGCTGATCTGTAACACATAGTCTTGCTTTCCCTCGGTGGCTTTGACTGGAGGGTTATGTATTTTTGTGCTGGTGTTGTAAGATACCTTCTAAGAGGGAAATGTTCCTTTAATTTATGTTTTTTCCAGATGATAAGAAAGAGCTGGGAGCTGCAAGGCGAAGCCAGTATTACATGAAATATGGCAATCCCAACTATGGAGGCATGAAGGGGATTCTGAGCAATTCATGGTGAGTATTGGATAGAGGAATTGGAATATTGCAGGATGAGAGAGTCTGAAATGGTTTTAATTTGTGGATTTTCTTTCTATTTGGTTCATGAAGATGCTCCTTATGTGTAAATAATGTTTTTACAACAGACTGTGCAAGGGGAGCATTTTCCCATGAAAATAAAGAATGTCTGTATTCAAACCAGCCAGATTTCTGATGTAAAAGTCTGTCTGCTGTTAAAGTGAGTGATAACTGTGTATGCTTAATCCAGGACTGAATATGGCTCATTCATTGTGCCTCTCCTGTGACAGGAATGTCATTCTTTTTGTGGTGTTTCAGGAAACGAAGGTACCATTCCCGCCGAATCCATCGGGATGTGATAAAGAAAAGGACACTTATTGGGGATGATGTTGGCTTGACTCCTCCTTACAAACATCGTCCCTCAGGTAATGGATGCTGGTATCTCAACCCTGTAAGAACACAGCTGGGGAATGGAGGGCTGGGAATAGCCTAAATCAGTCCTTCATCTGATCCCTGTAGTGCATGGAAGCAAAATCCAGCTTTGTACTTGAGCAGGCTTCTGAGATAATGAACACCATGGACTGCTTTTGTCCGGTGGGGATTTTCTTCCACTTAGGCTATTCTGTAATATAGATGCCACTCTGTATTACACTCTGTTCTCACTTTAGCCTTAGAGAGCCACAAAAGACTTACTTGTAGTGGATCATTAATTACAGTGATACCCCTGCATTAAAGTACTTCGTATGAATGACAAAATCCAGTTTATCAGAAGTAATTTGCTTTGCTCCAGGCTTAGTAAATGTTCCCGAAGAGCCTATTGAGGAGGAGGAAGAAGAGGAAGAAGATCAGGTTATGGATGAAGACGACAGAGTTGTGGTAGAGTACCGCGATGAGCTGCAAGCTTTCAAGCAGTCCCGAGAGCGTAGTGCAGCCCGAAGGTCAAGTGCAAGTGCATCTGATTCTGATGAAATGGACTATGATCTTGAACTGAAAATGATATCAACGCCCTCTCCCAAAAAGAGCATGAAAATGACAATGTATGCAGACGAGGTGGAGTCACAACTGAAAAACATTAGGTAAAAGTTTCTCCTTCTTTAAAAGGGTCAGTGAAAAGGCATTCTGAGTTAGTGACAGAGCTGTCGCAGCTTAAAGGCAAACTGTCAATGCTCCCTTTTCACTCCTTAACCTAATTTTGTAGTAGGTATTAAAAATAAATACAAAATACAGCCAACAGTGATACAGGCTTTTGATTACAATTAACATCTTTCAGATGGAATCATAGAATAGTTAGGGTTGGAAAGGACCTTAAGATCATCCAGTTCCAACCCCCCTGCCATGGGCAGGACACCTCACACTAAACCATGCCACCCAAGGCTTCATCCAACCTGGCCTTGAACACCTCCAGGGATGGAGCATTCACAACGTCCCTGGGCAACCCATTCCAGTGCCTCAGCACCCTTACAGTAAAGGATTTCCTCCTTATATCCAATCTAAACTTCCCCTGTTTAAGTTTTAACCCCTTACCCCTTGTCCTATCACTACAGTCCCTAATGAAGAGTCTCTCCCCAGCATCCCTATAGGCCCCCTTCAGATACTGGAAGGCTGCTATGAGGTCTCCATGCAGCCTTCTCTTCTCCAGGCTGAACAGCCCCAAATTTCTCAGCCTATCTTCATACAGCTTCCCTTGCAGATTCTGTAACCCTCCTTATTGATAATGACGGAGCTCAAAAGCAGAATCAACAGAAATTAACGCAAGCAAGCACAATTAACTTCTTGCATTTCATAACTAGGCCAGGAAGAAATAACTCAATAACTGCTCTTTCTTTTCCCTTTACTCCTTCCTCTTCCTCAGAAAGAAGAATAACCCCCGAGTGTTGATGACAAAAAGGAATTTGTTTGTTATGGGCATATTAACCAAAATCACTTATGTTGTGGATTACTGATATCACTTTAATATGTCCCTTCTGTAGTCTCATTAGACTTCATTATAACATCAAGTCCTTTAACAGTTTTGAGGCTGCATAGCTGCTCTGAATTTTGACACAGAGGCACAGCCTTAAGGAGAGAAACTCAGTATTTGCTTTGCAGTAGATACTGAGATATTCATGTGATGATTGATAAACTTGGATTCTGACTGGAATATGAGCTCTTCCCAGTCATGTTTTACCACTGTTTCTCAGTTTAGAGATCCTGATATTACTGTTCTCTATGAAGTAATTTTACATTCAAGAGGACTTCAGAACTGTGCTAGGCTTCATTTCATTTAAGGGATGTGAAATCTGTTACTTTCTTTAGGAATTCCATGCGAGCAGATAGCATAGCAACCAGTAACATCAGAAACCGGATTGGCAGTAAAGGATCATTAGAGAAAGTGGCAGATGTGAGACTACTGTTAGAAGAAAAACGTCAGAACAACAGTGGGCCGCGTCATCCAAACAGCACTGTAAAATCAGGTACTTGTCAACTCCTACATTGTGCAGAACTTGACTGGCTCATTAAAAGGGATATCTTCCTTTTTATGTCTGTGCTCCGTTGCAAGTAACCTGAGGGAGTCCTGTTCAACACCAGTTTCTGCATTCATGCAGTTTGAGTTGGCACCTAAGTCCTGTAACTCCCTTTGCCTTCATCTTTTTGTTTGAGCCTCCTTTAAGACAAGAAATACCCAGCTAAAACAGGCAAACTTCAGAAGGCAAGATTCACATTGTGGGTTAAATAGCAATATATTTAGGGTTCTCGTATTCTTGTTTTCATTGTCTTCTGCAAAATACCAAGCAGTATTAGAAGTCCAAAGCAAGGTGTCTCTTATCTGGAAGGAACTGCTGGAGCGTACCTCATGCTGGATGCATACATGCTGTGCTCCTAAAGCAGAAATGGAGCAAGCCATAGGGTACAATCTCTTGGATAGAGCACAATCTGAAAGCATTAAATGTCAAATTTATTGCCAAGAAAAAAGAAAGATTAGATTTGGATACACTGTATTGCAGCCATTGCCAGGACTGAAATCTGAGTATGAAAAAGACCAGAGAATCTGTCTAGTCTTAAGTTGTACACATGGTGAATGAGCATAAAACTAGCTGGTAGAGCTGGAATAAAGGCAGCATGGCTTTTGTCATTTTAATCACTTGAAAATATCCCCAGATGTGCGGCGAAGACTGGGAAAGAGACCACATTCTCCAGAAACTAAACCTCCAAGTAGTACCTCTGCTTCTCGTCGAGAGCCCATATCAGATGTCCACAGCCGGTTAGGACTCCCCAAACAAGATGTTAAAGGCCTCTACTCTGATACCAGAGAGAAGAAGTCAGGTTGGTTTTATGGAGAAAATGCAATGCTGCAATTCCTTTTGGGTTTAGAGTATAAGGGAAGTGTCAGCAGCAAATCGTGAAGGATGTTCTTTAGTTTCACTGAATCAGCAAATGTTTGTTCAGAGCTTTGAAATCTAAACAGATGCAGGTTGAGCTGAGTATTTTATGGAGTAGTAGTTTTATATAGGTATGCTTGGAAGTAGGGGACTACTTTAAAACTGAGGTCAAAACAGAGCACTAAACCAAGTGTCATGAATGCAGTGGCACTTCAGACCTGCATGTATCATTCTCTGCAGATGGGAAGCAGGGAGCAAGACCTTCCATGTTTTAGTTTCAAGTACTGCTTCAAAGCTTAGGAAGTTCCATAGAATCATAGAATAGTTAGGGTTGGAAGGGACCTTAAGATCATCCAGTTCCAACCCCCCTGCTTTGGGCAGGGACACCTCACACTAAACCATGTCACCCAAGGCTTTGTCCAGCCTGGCCTTGAATACCACCAGGGATGGAGCATTCACAACCTCCTTGGGCAGCCCATTCCAGTGCCTCACCACCCTAACAGGAAAGAACTTCTTCCTTATATCCAATCTAATCCATGCCAAACATGATAGTGGGAGAAGGATGAGGAGTTTAAATGAATTCAAGCCTAGGTTCCTCAGACTTCCTCCAGCGTTCCTCTTAGCCCTTGTCTTCCTAAAAGATGTTTGTTTTTCATCTGACCAGGTAATTTATGGACCCGATTAGGGTCTGCTCCGAAGGCCCAAGAAAAGACTTCTGATAAACCTGAGAAACCTGTGGCAGCTCCAGAGGAGGACGACTCAGAGCTCCAGCGGGTTTGGGGTGCTCTCATAAAGGAGAAAGAACAGTCTCGGCAAAAGAAGAGCCGGTTGGATAATTTACCATCCCTACAGATCGAAATCAGCCGAGAAAGCAGCTCGGGATCAGACTCGGAGTCATGATCGGGTTTACATCCCCATCCTCAGCATTAGAACTCTGCAGTGTGGCAGGATTTCCTTTGCCCAAAAGCTGGACCCTGGCAAAGACTCTGCAGTGAAGGTTCCAGAAGTGTCTCTGTTCCTTTTCTACAAACCAGAGATGCAAACACCACTTGAAACCTGAAGCAATCACGTTTGTCTGGAGTCTGTGGTGTGCCCTGTGTTACGTAGGGCATTGTCATATATGTTTATTACAGCAAACCTGTAGTTTATTCTAGCAAAACACTTTTCCTCCCCAAGCTTTGAAGTGAAAAGAAGAGGCAGAGATGCTCTGTATTTTTAAGACCTTTTTTGTTCTTAATGTTTTTAACACGGAGGCTTTTAACAACGTATTTTACACAGTCCTTCCAAAGAACAGGGCATTTCATAACCAACATCATTGCCTTGCCCTTCTGGCTCTTAACCAGCACCTTTCCTTTCCTCTTGAAGTAATAACAAGTAAAGCCCTTCCTGGGTGGGCAGCCAGCAGGGATAAGCTTGAAAGGGGACTGTCACGTTCCCCTCCTCCAAAATACTGGATGTGAATTGGAAGTTAAACGTATTAGTACGGTGGAATTCTACGTAGTATCCAAGTAGCATCCGGGCTTGAGGAGTCCTGCTTGTTTCTTTAGGTGATACCATGTTCTGCTGCAGTAGGGATGGTCAAGACTGCAAAGTTGGAGGTTTGAGAACTGTGTAAATCGCCAAGGGTTTCAGTTTTTGTTGTTGCTGTTACACAATGAGAAATCCCATTTCTTTCATTTCCTCTGTGTTCTGTTCTGAAGAAATCTAACAACTGAACAGCATCAGTTTTTCTACTTGCGAGGATTTTCCTGTTGGCCACGGTGAAAGCTATAGTAGTGTTTTCCTATATGCTGTTTAACTATATATATATAACTGAAAGAGAAAAGGAAAACTCTAGGATCACTGTCTCATGTCAATACTTTTGGACGTTCTTCCTGTATTGTTCATGTGGATGTGGACATGGTTGACTTGTTACATTCAGATTTTTTTTACCTGCATCCCCTCTCTAGGTAGGGAAAAGGTTTGGTCAGCGTGCAACTGTAGTGACATGTTGCCTGTGGCATATATTTGCATTGCCAGTGGTTTGAAATAAGGAATGATGCAGCACATACCAGCCTGGTAAACAGAACAGGTAGCAAAGCCATTGCTACATTTGGATAGGCTGAAAAATCTCTTTGTGTTGTCCCTCTTTCCTATGTTCTCAGTCCAAAATGTCTCTCAATCTCTCTTCCCCTTCCTGCTTTTTAACAGACACAAGTTTTATCTTTTCCCTCCCTGGTTTTGTACTAAGCTGAAGTAAGTCTGAGGCTTTCCCAAAACGAGGAATCTGCAATTAACTTTTCTTACTGCTTTATTATGATAAAGAATAGCAGCATGGGAAACAAAAGGTAAAATGAAAGGTACAGTGACTGGAAGGTATCTGGGGACTGACTGGGCTTAAAGCCTTATTATTTCCTCTTTTTGTGACACTCATCCTTGGTTTTCTATTTAATTATTGACTATATAAATATGTCTCATAAAAGTCCTGTTGAGAGTAAATGACTGTAATGTTTGATCACTGTAAGAGTTCATCTTAATGTGTGCTTTCATCAGTACCCCCTCCAAAGCTTTCAAATACAATCATGCCCATTTCTCAACATACAGATAAAATTTATTTAACCAGTGTCTTTTTGCCAGTAAATCTTTGTTGTGTTGCTGCTTTGAATCCATTGTGGCCTTCCCTTTTCCCATTGTGACCTTCCCTTTTCCCATTGTGACCTTCCCTTTTCCCATTGTGACCTTCCCTTTTCCCATTATGGCCTTCCCTTTTCCTGGGAGGAGATGGTAGATATGAATCATGCAGCTGACCTATAAAAACAGGCTTCTGTGTTGTTGTGGACCCTTGCATGTGTTTAAGCTCAGCCACAGGTTGTAGATGTTGCTGATAACCACTGTTTCCATGTGAATACTCGTATCTTGAGCCTGGTGAAGGGCAGGATGGGAAGAGACAATCTCTTAACTGTGATAGAAAAGCTCTGAACTCATGGATGTTTGAAATCAAGACAAGCAGCATAGGCAAAGGCTTGTGGTTGAGGAAGAGGAGCTGTTAACACTGGTTCTGTCTTCCAGATAGTCATAAACACACCTTTAAATGCCTCCACATTAGTTGGGTCTGTTGCAGTTATGGTTTAGAGGGGAGGGTTTTCTGTGTTAATGACACCACAGTAGCTTTGCTGCAAGAAAAAATAGAGGTTTGGTGTTGAAGGGACTTACAGAGTGGGGTTTTTACTACTTGTTTGCCTGGTTTTGCTTTTTGGGTGATACACAGAGAAGCCTTAATATTTGCTGGTATCAGGAATTCTAGCTTTGGTCTTTAGTTCCCTGCATGTGAACTGCTGGGTTTTGCTCATTCAAAATGAGCACTGAATCTTCAGTGAGTGCTTTATCAACACAGTTAACTGCAACCTGTTTGACCTGGAGAGAGAGAGATTGTATGGAGAGTTGTGTTCTGAGTCCCCTTCTATGGTACTAAAATGAACTTGTGTTGAGAATTGCACAAGGAAAAGTTTGGCTTTTGCTGGAGGGAAAGATGCGTCTGGATTTTGGGTGATTCCGCACAGGACCACGGAATCCTTCCTCTGGGAAGGTTTTGCGATTTAAATCAGGGTCTTTTGAATTTTGTGGGGTTCTATAAGGTGATTTGAATGTGTAGAAGAAAGAGTTGTGGGGGCTACAGGCTCTGTGCCTGCAGCTGCCCTCAGGCAGACTCTCAGTGTGTGACATTGATGGGAGACTTGAAAGAGAGGGCTTTGCTTTTCTTCTTGAAGATGATGGCCCATGTGTTTTAACAGGGAAAAGGAAAGCAAAATAAACCCCTTATTTTCTGTTCAAAATGACATTAAAATGTGAAAATAACAAATCCTATATTTAAGCAGCTGTTCTGTCCCAAATAAAAATGGTCTGGAATCATGCTGACCCGTCCCAATGTGCTGGAACACAGATGATACAGAGCAGAGCTGCATCAGTTCGCAATGAGGAGCTTGTGGGTGCTCCCTTGGCTGTCCTAAGAGAGGGGATTGTGCCTTTCTGGGGACCAGCTCATGGAATCCCAAAATCCCGGGTTGGAAGAAGCCTCAAGAATCATGTTCCAACCTTTCTAGGTAAGCATGACCTAAACTAGTTAGTGGTGCCGGCACCCTGGCTTGTTGAGCCTTAAAGATACCCAGTCTTGGGAAATCCAACACTTCCCTGGGATGATCCCAGACTATTCCATCATTATCCCAATGGCTGGTTATTCTCAGTGTGACAGATTTTCCTCTTGTGTTCAGTCAGAATCTCCGCAGGAGTAACTGATGCCCATCACCCTTTTGCCTTTTCCATGTGTGTAAGTAGTGAGTCTCCATCTTCTTTGCAGCCACCCTTTAACTACTGAACAAACCCAGTTTTTCCTGTCTTCCCTCACACGCTTCCCAGTCCATGGATCATCCATGTGGTCCTCTGAACCCTCTCCAGCCTGTCCACACCTTTTTGCATAGCAGGGAATTGTAGTCCATGTGTGGCTTGACAAGTGCTGAGTAGAACAGGACAATGATACCTTTATCTCTGATGATGCTCTTGATGTCCCTCTGCATCCTCTCGGTTTCCTCTGCTGCATCTGCACACTGTTCACTCACACTGATGGGGATCCAGGTGCAGCCCGTCCCATCCCAGCTGTGATGACCCCACTCTCCTGCCTCCAGGATGCCTAAAATCAGGGATCCCCATCCTGGTGATGCTCAAAGCAGCTCCAAGTCCCTCCTCCTTCCCGTGCCCCGCTGCAGGAGATGGATGCTTCCAGCTCCCCCCGCCTTGCTGCAGCAGTGGTACGGCTCTCCCCCCCTCCGTGAAGTGGTACGTTCCAAGCCTTTATAAACGGTCGCCGCCACATTGGGGCCCTTTCACCGTGCTTGCAGGGGTGTGGGTAAGGCAAGGAGGGGGCGTGGGGCGGTTGGGCATTAAAGGTGGGCAGCTATGAAGCAGCCATGAGGTGGGGCCCGCACCCCCGCGCCCGGCAGTGGTGGTGTCCGCCGGTCCTCGGTCCCCAGGGCCGTTGGAGCTGGGCCCGACCATTCGGGAAGCGCAGGGAGAGCGGGCCGTGTGGCGGAGAAGGGAGGCCTGTGGCATGGCGGGATGTGGCGCTGACTGCCTACGTCCCCACAGGGCCGGACATGGAGGTGGGAACCGGCACCGGGGCCCCGATACCGCGTGAGAGGGGCCGGGACCGCGTTGGGGCCGGTGCGAGCCCATCCTCGGTGAGTCGGAAGGGGCATGGCGGGGGGGTGAGGCAGGGTCAGGCACCGCCATGCCTGAGCTGTAGGAAGGACAAAAGGGCATGGAGCTGTTGGAGCAAGCCCAGAGGAGGCCGTGGGGATGATCAGGGACTGGAGCAGCTCCTGTGTGAAGATAGGCTGAGAAACGAGAAGGCTGCGTGGAGACCTCATAGCAGCCTTCCAGTATCTGAAGGTGGGCTATAGGGATGCTGGGGAGGGACTCTTCATTAGGGACTGTAGTGATAGGACAAGGGGTAAGGGGTTAAAACTGAAACAGGGGAAGTTTAGATTGGCTATAAGGAAGAAATTCTTTCCTGTTAGGGTGGTGAGGCACTGGAATGGGTGCCCAGGGAGGTTGTGAATGCTCCATCCTTGGCAGTGTTCAAGGCCAGGTTGGATGAAGCCTTGGATGAGATGCTTTAGTGTGAGGTGTCCGTGCCCATGTCAGGGGGGTCGGAACTGGATGATCTTAAGGTCCTTTCCAACCCAAACCATTCTATGAAGGGCTCAGCATGGGAGTTAAACCCAGGTTACATTTGGTTGCCTCCTCGTGAGCCTTCGGTTGCTTTCGGGCTGGCCTTTGTTGCTGGGGCAGAGGCCCCGAAGGGCTGTGGAGGTAACGCTGCGGTTAGCACATGGCATTCCTGTGCTTCCATGGGGATTCAGTCTTAGAGTGATATATTTAGCAATGGGATCACTCCCATCAGAGGGCTGGAGCATCTCTCCTGTGAGGAGTGACTGAGAGTTGGGGTGGTTCAGCCTGGAGAAGAGAATATTCCCAAGAGACCTTATTGTGGCTTTTTAGTACTTAAAAGGGGCTGTAGGGAAGATGGGAAGGGCTTTATCAGAGCCTGTTGTGGCAGGACGTGGGTGATGGTTTTAGGGCATTGATCCTGAGGTCCTGGTTTTGGTTGGGGGTTAGTTTGTTCTCCTGCATAAACCTACTTTATAAATGTACTTTATAATAAGCTATTACTTTAGAAACCTACTTTTTTCCTAAACTCACTGCACTGACTCTTCCAGTAATGCTGCTTTTCTTTATCCCCACAGCAGGAAGATGACTTGAAGTAAAAAAGGTAAGTTTAACTTGTACTAAGATGTATGTAAAGTTGTTGGTGCAAAGCAGTTAATGCAGGACAGTTAATAAAATATAACATGTAGCAGTTACATCTTAAAGCAGATTAGCTCAAACCTCGTTTTACATATCATTAAGAGCTAATACTTTTCCTAAACCAAAGGGGAAACGGACGACTGTTAGTTCAGGGTGAAGCACTTTGTGGTGTTTGAAGGGCTCGGGTACAAAAGTTGGCTGTTGATGATGATAACCCTGAATAGGAAGTGCCGTCAGATGCGATAACTGACGATAGCATCCTCACGTGTCTGAAACACAGCTGCGTGCCTGCCGAGTTTGGGTTCTTGTTTGTCTTCTAGAGCGAATGGGGTAACCCTTAAATATGCTTGCTGTCTGGGAAAATTGCTCTTGTATCTTAACATAGCTCCATGTCCATCTATGTCACTGTCTGCAGAGCCTGGCTTTCCCGATGAAGGGGACATAGGGAGGAGATTGCTCTTTGGAGATGGCCCTAATGTGAAGGTGAGTGATGAATTTAGAATCATAGGGGTTGGAAAGGACCTTAAGATCATCCCATTCCAACCCCTTGCCATGGGCAGGGACACCTCACACTAAACCATTTCACCCAAGGCTTTGTCCAGCCTGGCCTTGAAAAATTCCACTGACTCACATAGAGTTTTGTACCATGTGGGATCTAAATTGGGAATAAATGAGGTTTATGGGCTGCAGAAACCCTCAAGAAGCATACTCCATAACTTGAATCGATCCGCTTTCCCTCCTCTCATCCTCAGTATTCAAAACCTGATGCTTATTTCCTGGTATCTGTATTTAGGTGTAGCTTGCAGGCCTCTGTTGCCATGTACTCATTGTTCTCACGTCTACCAGGTGATGTTATAGCTCTTCACAAGTCCAGCAGAAGGCAGTGAGACAGCAAGAGCAGGAGATACCTCCAGGTGAGTTTAATACTTGGTGTGCTGTTAGTTTAACGTGATGGGGTTTGTCTGCAGTCTCAGAAACATGACCTACATGAGAGCAGTCCCATTGGCTGTGTTTCTGTCTGTATATTCTTAGCTCTAGAAGTATAATAATTGAAGTTCTAGGCCAAAAAGTATTTTGTAATAAAGCATGGGCAGCAGATGCGTAAGAGCCGTTGTCTTTCGCACTGCGGTTTTGCTTGCTAAGGTTCTGTAGAGCAAAGGGATAAAGGTCTTCTTTCTGCTAGAAATCAAGATATCATGTGATGAAACTAACCACAAGTTGCTGGAATTACCGGCAGATTGACTGGTGGTGAGCAAAGGGTTTTCTGATGATATCCCTTACATTAGCAAATGGCTTGGTACTTGCTGGGAATGGTTAACTCACCCCTGCTGTTGTGTTACAGGTGAGAACATCTTGTCTGAGGGAGGAGGAATCCAGCAAAACCTGTGTGTGAGCTTGGAGACCAGTGTTTGTACCTAAAACATAAAGAAATGGTCACAGTTACACTCTTTTGATGGCATATCTATTAAAATCCTATCTCAAAGCAAACAGCTGGGTCTGGTTTTGTCACTTGATGCACTAAGGAATGACTTTCCATTACACAACACGTTTTTAAAAGCCATGCTGAGCACTCCTGGAATTCACTATAACATAAAGGAGATGTATACACACCACAGTGTAATTGCTGCAGATAATTAGGTTTTAGTTGTGTCAGCATCTATCTGGTATTTGGCAGTTTGCTTTAAGCAGTTTAAACAAGTGATGCTTACACTGCTGCTGTAATTACTGGAGAAACAAGGCCTTAAATACCTCTACAGCAAGAAGAGCAAACACAGCTATTTCTGTAGCTTATTTCCAGGCCATTTCTTCATTATTTTGGCCTCAGTCTGTTTTGAAGTCATCTACAGATGTAGCAGAATCTGTCCCTGCATCAATAGTATTCTAGCTAAGTAATGGTCCAAATGTGTGAATCTAACATCAATCACCAGATGTAGAGAAAGGGAAGAGAGGTTCAAACTCTATGGGAGGTGTGGAATGTTAAGAGTCTCATCAAGCCTGGAGTGACTGAGCACGTCCACCAGACGTTACTGATCGTTTTGTCCACTTGGTGTCAGCAAGTGAAAGATTTTGGTACAGCTTTTAGTGTGCTTTCTGAGGAAGGTAAACTTCATTAAGATACTAGTTCCTTGTGAGCACACACTCGTTCTGTGCCAGCAAGGACTGAAGGAATGTTAACTGTACAGCTCCAGGTAAAAGACACTTTGGTATTCCTTCTGAAAGCAATGAAACTTGGACCCAGTGGGGATGTTGCCTATTAAAGAGCCATTCAGGACAGGCAACAAACCAGTCAAAAACAGGTATTTTCTCATGAGTAATAGTTACTGTAGTAATTCAGGTTAACAGTTCTTTGCTGTCATCAAACAAAGCAGGGATTTGTAGTCCATTAAACCACTGTTACCAGTGTAAGCTTGCTTGTTTCCATGATGGGACATGGGGAAATGGTGACAGTGGGACATAAATGTGACTCCAGTCCTGGCTCAAAGATGATGCTTCAGGGACTGCCCCAACTGCAAAGGCCTGGGTCTGGTTTCTTGTGTGATTTAGCTCCTGATACCTGAAAGAAGGAAGATGCTGTGACTTGGTGCTCCCCGTCTGCCATCACAGGGCTGTGTCCATGGAGTATGCAAAGTGTGCTTGGAACTGATTAGTTTCTTTTTATCTATCTGATGCATTTGAGCAGTTGGAAGAACAGGTTACTCCAATGTTCCTTTTCATTAGTGTCTGAAAGTAGAATTGCTTTCTGTTCCCAGCATTTAAAGAGAACTTACTTTTGCCTGATTTTAAGAGCTTGTGTATTAGAACATGTCAACAGAAGATGGTGTAGTACACATTGGAACTAAAAATGGTTTCAGAGCAAAATGCCCTTAGGAACAACTCAACAAATTCTTCTGTGACTTTAATTTGCTCAAGATGGGTTTGCTGCAGCTTGGTGTTTTAATTGTTTGGTTCTTTCTAGTATGTGTCAGAACCATTAAAATGGAGAAGAGTTGATCTGGGAATACTGTGAACAGGAAAGTGCCTGGGTTTATTGAAGTTACAAGTTGGTATCTATGATAGTTAACCATTCATGAGTTTCATTTTAGTATTACTTGTTTATTGTGTTCATCAAAACCAAAGTTCCTCAGCAGGGATCCTCTAACAGGCTGGGGTTTTAAAAGGAATGAATGGAAAAGTGTTATTCCTATTGGAACATGGAACAAAATAGAGGGCCCAACCATATTACTGTGATCTTTCAGGGGAGCCGAGATAATCTCACTATTCATCTCGCAGTGCTTATGGGGGAGGAGAAATGGAGTCATTCTGTTTTGATTACATTTGGAGCGCATCAGCTTCAGAGTGTTGGGGAATAAGCAAGAGGAATAAAAAGATCCTGATTTAAAAATACCATTATTTTGGCTTTTCTAAAGGTTTAAGAGAACGGTTGGCAGGAGGCCCTGGCACTCACCAGCAGCCAACAACCATGGATGGACCTGAAATAGATGAGAGGATTAAAGCAGAAAGCAAAACCAGTGAAGCTCAGTGTGGCTGAGTGCCAGCTCTTAGCAAGGAGAGAGATGGCAACGTCATGTAGTAATTCATTTGTGAGAGAAAACAGTGATTACGTGGTAGCTGCAGAATACGTGCTCTGACTGCTGACCTGATGGAGAGTAGCTGCTCCATGTAGTAGCCTTGCTGTTTGCATCTCCCCTCCTGTATGAGATGGTGTAGAGGATGCCTTGCCAGTGTTTGGCTTCCTTTCTGTAAATCACAAGCTCCACATTTCCTATAAGTGCTGGTTATCATCATTATTTCTTGATTAGTAGTATAAAGCAATCAGATCTCCATCAGCATTGAAATCACTCATGCAAACCCATAAATTACTATAATTAATATATCCCAGCTATTAGCTAAAATCTAAAGATGTTCTTTCTTGGCTTGGTAGCTGCTGTTTCAGCTCCATCAGTTTTAGCTGGCTGTAGCCACATAACGAGAAGGGAGGAAGGGGTACACTATATTTTACCTTTTCAGAACAAAATAAGCCCTAAATTTGGAAGCTTCACTCCTTTTCTGCTGCAGGCAGATGGAAAAGCAGTTAATCCTTCACCTCTGCTCCCTCTTGTTTAAATTAGTGAAAGAGAAGCAAAGCCCCATCAGAGGAGTTGCTGTTCTCTAGCAAGGAACAACTGAGATGATATTAGTTTTATGCCAGGGAAATTTATGGGTTTGTTTTCTTCCAACTGCCACATTAGCAGATGCTTTGTCTCTTGTAACCTCAGATGCTACAGGCAACTCAGAGCGAGGAGTGGAGGCTCAAAACAGGGGGTGTTTGACCTTTCTCATGCAGGCTCAGTGCTGTTCATAGCTTCTGATGGGCCTTGTGCTGCCAAAGCTTTGCCACATCTCATATCTTCCTATGAAGAACAAGGCTGACACATCATTTAGTGGTCTGGTAGGATGACAAACACCTTCTTTTGTGAGTTCATGTAATTTAGTGTCTCAATTTTAGGCTTAAAATCAAGTTTTGGGTGAATGTTACCAACTGCTCCCAATACTTAAAACTGTAAGATTTTAATGGGTGGAACTTGATTTAGAGCATGCAAGAAGGACAGAACTAAAGAACAAAAAGCATTTTGTGCTCCTGTACTTGAATACAGGAAGGGGGAGAATAACGTTTGCCCTGTGTTACCTCCTGAAGCTGGAGCCCACAAGATGGTGCAGTGATCAAATTCAGGTTTATCATAGAGAAAGAGCCTTGGGAGAATCTTGTTTGGGGATACACAGTTTTACTGCTGGTTCCTTCCTGGTTGTCTAATGAGATTTGCACCTTTAACATGCAGAGCATCCCTTGCACAGTGAAAAGACCCCTCTTTATCTGGCTGTTAGTAATGGTTGTTAGTGCAGCACCACCAAGGGCTGAACCTCTCTGTTTTCTTTGATGCTATACAAGCTCTCCCAGTCCCAAAGTGGTTTTGCTCTAAGCAGACATCAGTGACACAAGAGTGTGTGAATAAAGTGTATAATTAGAAGACAAAAGAGTTAAAATTCAGGTTTCTTTAGTAAAGGATTATCTGCTTTTCACTCCAATGCAGTGATTGGAGGGACTTCAGCCCAGCTGCTTGGTAAAGCCCTGCTGTGCCTCCTTGGTGGTGCACATCGAGCATCAGCTTAGCTGAAGTCAGTGGACACCTCCCATCCTAGTACCTGTGTGTGGAGCTGTAAACCCTGAGCAGAGCACACATGAGAGGATCATTGCTAGGCTGCAGATTGGGTTTGGAACCCTGCTGTTTGAATCAAACGGGAACATTCAGAGTTCCAGCCCCAAGAATTCAGGCCATTCCTGTACGTGCTGGTTTTTGGCTGTTGGTCTCCTGCTGATGTTTGCAAGTCAATACTTGGCTTTTCTTTGTAACAGCGTTTTGAGTTGTAATGATTTGTGATAGAATAACTGCATAGTGCAGCTGCACCATGAGCTCTCTAAACAGTGAAATAATCCGTATTTCTAAAGCTGCTTATGGCTTTCTGGTGGGCTGCCCGTGGGGGTTTTAATGCTTTTAATTTCTTCCTTAGTCTTCTGAATGGTTTCCTTGTTTGTGCTTTTTCCTTATCCTTTAGGAGGATTCTCCAGGTTTGGTTTTCTTCATTTCTCCTGTATTCTGTACGCATGCTGCCTGCACTTGATGTTTGCATTGCCTATGGGTTTGTATTCAGTGCAGTTATCACTGACGTTGTAACTGCGGAATAGGGTTGAGGTTTGATAGCACATTCAGAGATACCTTCCTAGCTAAGGCTAAGCTTATCACCCATATAATAAATAGCCCTGAACAGTTTAAACTTTATTAAATACCTGGGTCAACATTTGAGTGGTGTTTGGTTCTTATCTGACAGCAAAGGCAATACTGATGTATTGATGATCCATGAGTATGCACAGCAGTATAACGTGGCCTACAACAACAAGAGATGAAATGCTTTATCTAGTGCTTTGCATCTCTTGTGCCTCCATCAGATAATCTTGAACTGCTCTGCCAGTGTTCCCATGAGGCAGTTTTACCTCCTCATTACAGATGAAGAAGCTGGAGATGAGAGCCTTGCTGAGGCAAAGGGAAGCCCCATTTGGTCAGTTGGATGGAGCATTTTTACTGACCTGTGTCCAATTGGGTGTTTATTACCATCCACCAT